GGTGACTCACCCAAGTATCCGATGAGGGCAGCCCCGACTGTCCGGGCAGGCCCGTTAAGGTGTCCTGCGGAGTTGTGTATCAACTTCACAGGAGTGGCATTCTCATGGGAGGAAATGCCTAACTGAAGAACAAGAAAGGAAATAATGTAACTAAAGAAGAACAGTCTCCAGGCTTCAACTGGGAAAGAAACCAAACACATCACTGGCGACACATTTTTCCTCCTCCCTGATCAGAATAACAAAAAGTAAGTAAAATACAATCTACTGAGACACAGATGTCAAGGAGATCCTAGGACACAGTGTCAAGGGTTTTTCTGGATGAAGTTCTGTGTGGTTTAAAGGCTGTTACCAATATTCCTGATTAGTGATGCTATAAAGTATACGTGTGTAAGAGTTCTACAGATAAAACATACCTACACAAAGGGATGTTAAATTTTAAACATACACACAGGATCTGTTTTCAAAGCAAAGTTAATCCTAGGGCCTTACTTCTATTATTCACTGTGGTATTTAATTTGGGTACAGTTTATGCTCCTCAGAGCTCATGTGTGTGTATGTATACAGACAAAACTCTGCACAAGAGTTGGCAATAGTTACTGTTCCAAGTCTCTTGATTTCCTTCCCGTTGGGCTTTGCCGCCAGTAACCAGACAAAATGGCTTTTCAAGCTTAAAGATGAGGGTTTACCTTGCTAAACCTGTGGTTAGCCCTCACTCCTCATCTTACTTGATGGCTGAACACATTTGCCACCATGAACCACTGATTTCTACAATACCACACACACCTAAGTTTCCTCCTTTTTTTGTAGACTACTACTTCTCAGTCTTTTCTTTTCTTTTTTTTTTTTTTTTTTAGCAGTCTTTTCTTTTCTTTTTTTTTTTTTTTTTTTTGAGACAGAGCCTCAAGCTGCCCCCCTGAGTAGAGTGCTGTGGTGTCACAGCTCACAGCAACCTCCAATTCTTGGGCTTAAGCGATTCTCTTGCCTCAGTCTCCCGAGTAGCTGGGACTACAGGCGCCTGTCACAACAAGTGGCTATTTTTTGGTTGTAGTTGTCATTGTTGTTGGGCAGGCCCAGGCTGGATTCGAATTTGCCAGTTCTGGTGTATGTGGCTGGTGGCTTAGCTGCTTAAGCTACGGACGCCGAGCCTCAGACTTCTTTTCTGACTTTTCTTTATCTCCCCACTCTCCGCCACTGGAGTGTCCTGGTTTCAGCCCTCAAAGCTCTCCATCTATGGCTATGCTTCGGTGGATACACACAGTCTTGTGGCTTCAAATACCACATGTCAACATCCACAGCATTCAAACTTCTCCCCTGAAGTCCAGATTCATATTTCTAATGAATGAACTTGATTCTGCTACTAAGATGTTTAATCTAACACGTGTTGAACTTTTCTAAGACAGAATTTTCAACATTCCCCCCAAATCTATTCATTTTCTAGTTTTCTCCAAATCAGAAAAGGTGACTCCATTTTCCTGACTGTTTAAAATAAAAACCTTAGAGATACCCCTGACCCTCACATTCCACACCCATCCACATTCCACCACCAAAAACTAGTAGTGCTACCTTACCTTCAAAACCACTACAACTGCTGTCACCCCAGATAGGGCCACCCTAGTCTCTTACAGGAATTATTTATTACATTGGCCTCATGACTGGTCTCCCTGCTTCTAACTTCGTTTCTCTTCCATCTTCTCCATAGAAGGCACAGTGACCCTGGTTAAAATGGAAGTTACGACATTTCCCTCCTAGGTCTGCAACTCCATAAAGCCTTTCATCTCACTTAGTCTAAGAAGCCCGTGTCTATAAAGCCTGCACAGTCTGGCGCCGGGAGCTCTGCTAAGCCGGCTTTCTCTCATCTCACTCTTCCCACACCTGCCTCTGTGCAGGCGGCTATGTGCAGTGCTGTTCTCAGGGGTTTGCATTTATGCTCCTAAAAGACAAAACACCCTCATGTCCACATGTGTACTGCTGTGGCTTGATGTTTCATCCCTACCAAGACTTTGCTCAAAATTTACCCTTTCAGTGAGGCCTCCTCTGACTGTCATATTTAAAACTTGAAGCTTCTCTCTTTTCCCACTTTCCTGTTTTATTTTCCTGAATAGCACTGATCACCTTCTACTTTATAATTAGGTTATTTGCTTAGTTATTATCAATCTTTCTCTTCCATTAGAATGTAAGAAACAAAGGCAGGGATTTTCTCTTTAGCCATAGCTATGCCCTGACCCAGCTGGCACCTGACACATAGTAGGTCATCCACATGAGTTGTTGAGCTATAGGTTTAAAAACAGCAAATTTTTCTTTAGTTTTCTAAAGTTTAATTATTA